CAGTAGCTCTTAATCCCCAGATCTTGAAATATCTCTTTCATGCGAAGGTAATACACTGCCTGTAAAATCCAAATGACAGGGATGAGGAATCCAATTGAGAAGATGAGGAGAGCACAACACGAAGGATTCGACTGTGATGATACTGTTGTGTTCTCTATTTCATCAAAAGGTTGTTGAATGTATGAGCGACGAGTTGGTGGTTGTGAGGTGAAAGGCATATACGCAATTTTGCTGTTAGTTATATCACTCATCCTATTTGTTTACAAGTTCATTGCTCTTTGAATTATTCTTGTATTAGAAGTGATGGTTTGTATATGGTTTAAAAAGAAGGTCTAGTATTTATTCATTGAAATTTTTAATTGGTTTTATTATATGGTTATTAATAATATTCTATTTATATTTATTAAGCTGATTATTATATCTTATGGAAGAAATCGACTTTATATATTGTTGGTTGGTATTAGTTGATATAAATTAATTTATTAGTAATTAAACTATGTTATAATTATTCTATATTCTTATTTAATTAATTATATGTTATTATATTTATTTAATAAAATAAAATCCCATAGGGTAAAGTATTTATTTTGAAAGAACAGACCGGATATAAAATGAAAAAAGTGACATTTTGATTTCTCATTGTCTTTTTTTTTAATAAAAATAAAATCATAATGAAAAATAAATACAGTAGGGGGAGTGAGGGGCTTGACGATACTGAGGGGCTTGACCTATACTTTTAATGGTTTATTTACTATATTTAAATAAAAACTATTTTTAATGTTCTATTTAAAAACACAACCTTGACTTATAAATTATAGTTTATAAACCATAAAAGTATTGGTTCATCCTTAGCATAAAGTCGGAACTTGAAATTGTATTAAAAACGACTTGGGTGTTTGTTAGTTGTTTCTCAATTAAGTCATCGGTAGGCGTTAGTCTTTATGTTTGATATGGCTCTCGTTGTTGGCAACTCTTGGATATTCCAAGGCAAACTTTCCTCTTCGGATTTGACCAAATATGTTAGTCTAGGCGGAAGAACAAACAATTCCAAGTGTTCTCTGATATAAACACCATTGGATACCAGTAACAATCTGGAAGCCTCTTCTATAGAAACGAACATTCTATTAATCTTGCCAATATTGACTCCAACAACACCAGAACGCTTATATGATGCAATAATGATGTTTTTGTTGCTTTGCTCTCTAATGCTCCCAACATATTTTTGGTATGACGAGCAATGGAAACAAATATACTCTCTCAGCTCTCCTTGTTCTCTTAGAACTTGTCATGATCTGCCATCACTATCACTATGTTGTCTCATCCAAAAAATCAATTCAAGTCTTCGGTTACTGCGAAATTGGCGTCAATTGATTTTAATTGTCAAAGTATTCAGTAAGCTTGTATTTTAACAACACCGAATACACAAGCCAAATGGCGAGACGAGTTGGATTGTGTGAGGAACAACTTGTCTTTTATGGCTAAAGGAAATCCTGTCTATGTACAAAGAAGTTGTATTTGTGCTGTTATAGAAACAAAATAATTGAAGCTTTGTGAATTAATTCTTGGTTATTTCAAACAATAGAAATAAGCCATTTAATTTTCTTCATAACACTAAGGTTGTTTACTTTTTCTTTTCAAAAAACGTTTTATTTTATTTTGGATGAGCTAAGAATCTTTTTCTTTGACATTTTTTATAAATTATTTATAGTTTTTGTTATTTTATAAATAGAACCGGGAAAACTCTGTATAGTAAAAAAGATAATAAAACAATAGGTCAAGCCCCTCACTCCCCCTACTGTACTAATAAATTACTAAGTAAAATACTAATTATACAACAATTATAATTAATAATAAATAAATCATTTGTTAATAGAAATAACAAACATTTATCATAAGAATTAATTAATTATCTAAAAAAGAATGGTTTTGATTTTCAAAGACATATTGTATTGATTCGTCAAGTGCTCCTTTTTCAATCTCTCTAACTGTTGACGGAATGACAACTGTTATATTGTCGTCAAAAAAACTCCAATACATATTATTTGCTATAATTCTGACTTCTGGTGGAATAACTCCGTCTTCCATTTCGTCTGAATTTGTCATAGTGCAGTTAATTGCGTCAATACCAAACTCTTTCATCTTTACAGCTGTTGTCACACCCACCCTGTGTTTACACACCTTATTATTAAATGTCAGTTTCGTTACGCCACTGATATCTCCAAATGGGTTTCCATCAAATATAGTTTCTTCATAGAATTCAAGTTCCTCCAGATTTTCTCCATTGATAATTTGATTACTCATAATCTCGACCGTTGACGGAATGACCAACCTTGTAAGTCCTGGCGGCAGCGAGTTTTTTTGAATTATTCTCACCGTAGTAGGAATAATAAGATCGTTCATCTCTTGATATACAAAACACAGATGTTCGATACTATATAAGTCTTCTGGGAAGTCCAGTTTGTTTTCTAAATAGTCTCTTTCTGTGTACGTTGTCTTCTTCACTCTCACTCCTTTCTTTCTCAACATCTTTGCTACAAATAAAGGAATTGGGTCGTTCACTTCCCTCAGCCCGTCGCAATTGATTTCTTTGAGTTTGTCGCAGTGGTTCAACGCGTTCTCCCCAATCGTTTCTAAGTCGCTTGAAAGTGTGAGGGACGTCATATGATTACATCCATATAATCCATCCTCCCCAATTGTTGTTATCATCGACAAGTCAACTTCTTCTAAGTAATCAGCCATATAAAAAGTTCCTGGGAGTTCTCTCACGTTCTTTGATATTTTGACGTGTCGAGGGCCTTCAGAGTGGTGGAATATCGCATTCCCAAGAGATGTGATCTTATCAGGGAAGACGATGTCCTTTTCTATGATCAATTCTCTTAAAGACAAATCCCCAATTCTATTGACATAGTCAGGAAATTCAACTCCTTTAGTCCAATTATCATTCAGAGAGTATGTGATGCGCTTAAACTCTATCTTTGGGCTTTTAAACTTCTCATATGTACCACAGTCAATTTCATACCAAACTACTACTTTATTATATAATTCTAATGTTTTATATTTATCATCTATTGTATCGAGTTTTTCATCACTCCCTTCTTCTTCTTCATTTAAAGGAAAATACAAGTAAATGGTTTCCATATTTGGAAAGATCCTTTGAGTCTTGTGATCCACTTGGACCGGGTTGAAATGAAACATCAATGGAATCTCCTTCATCTTTCGACACACAAAGACTAATCTCTTGAAGTCTTCAACAGTTGAAAAGTATTTGGAGACTATCATCACAGAGTAGACGTCGGGCTGTACCATCTATTATATCAAGTGGTTCTGTCATGTTTTTATTGTCAAGTCAAGCTTCAATAGTGCAGGTATTTATATCATAGTATACTTTATAGTTAATCATTAATTATTTTTAATTATTATACATATATAATTTTTTAACTATATGATACTATAATTTCAATTATATTCAATTTGTTATAATAATACCAAAAAGTCGGGATATTGTAAGTAATTTAATAAATAGTAACAAAACTATTAATAAATAGTAAAAAGAGAACAAAGGCTGAACTGATAATATCGAGGGTTTTTAACTGAGTCTTCTGAGATGGTTTGTTAAGTGTATCAACATCAGAAATACAACTAACGGGTAGACAGGACACAAGGGATTCTCGTACAAAATCAAGTTGGGCAAGAAGATTAAACAGAACAAAGGTGTCCCACAGTTTTACAGAATGAAGACTGGCAACACCATGAACTACAACTTCAAGAGAAGACATTGGAACAGAAGAAAGTTGGGTATGTAAGCCACTCCTTGGTGTTGTTCTATTTTTTTATACTATTCAATTTTAATTATTTTACTAGTATTTGTTGGTACATATTTCAAACATCAACAGAAACAACAAATAAACTATAATATATTAATAAATCTAGTACTGTATTTAATATATTCTATTAATATAATAAAATTGTTATAATAATATAGTATTATTATTTCAATTGGATAGAATAAAAAGATAGTATACAAATTAGTTATAAGATAACATCTGTTCCATAGATGGAGTTGGTGATCTGTTTTTCTGTTTGTCCTCTTCATCGACTATGTCAAAAGAGAAATCGACATCATCGTCGTCACTCATTTCATTCTCGTCATCAGTTTGTTTGTTTGTGTGTGATGGGGAGTCACACCAATCACATTTGACGTTTTCTAGAGAAGCCATTGAGACGTCGTCTAAAGAAGATATTCGGAGTGATGGTGTTTCGTCGGTAAATGTGTGAATGTTAACATGTTTGGCAGCACTCATATGATATATTGAATGAATGTGAAATGAGTGCTTCCCTTTTTATTCTCCAAATCCATCAAACCGTCAGAGTTATACACAAACTAGTTGTTTTAATAAAAGTGTACAAGATATAGTTACTTTCAAAAAGTGTTTCGCTATCGTTAATTTCAGAAGTATTTCATTCGGACTTTTTTCATGTTTTTGTTGTGTTATTAGTTTGATAACTATTTAATTATTATTATGAAATTAGTATAATATAACATTGGAGGTGGTTGTTTCTTTAAAAAAAACAAATTAAATCGCAGTTGCCATTTCCTTGTTATTACACCAGAATGTTTTGATAAGTTGATTTTTTTTTAATTGATTTATAACACTATAAGTCATTAATAAACTTCGGGATTATTAGCAATTATTTATACAACATTTTTTACAACGTATTTATATTTTCATCATAACCCCAAACCCTTCTGCAAAAAATACATTTCAACTGAAATTCAATTGTTTGTAATAGTTGTTTTATAATTAAAGTATTATAAAGAGATAGAAAAAAGTTATAATATAATGCAATTGCCGAAATAATAATAAAAATAATATTTTTATACAACCCCTAAAAGTAATTAATAATAAAAATAGAAATATGGTTTATTTATAATAATTATATAGTACTTGAAATCTAATAAATATTGAATTTTTGGAAATTTTTTTTCCCACAACGACTTGTTGTTTCCTGTTTTAAGTTTTATTATACAAAAAACAAAGATAAGTCCCAAGTTAAGTGTTTAGTTCAATAATCTCATTTTCTATACATTTTAAAGTTATTAAAAAACAAAATGATAATTTGGGTTTATTTGTTTTTATTGAACACTCCGTTTTGGGTTAATTATACATTTATTTGCATCTTTAAAATCAAGTTTTTAATAATAATTTAAATAACCAGTTTATTACACCAATTGATTTAAATACAAAAACTGGTTAATATTTTTTTATAAATTTAAAAATGTAATTGTTATAACAAAATATAAATAAAACCATTAAATGAACCAATAAAAATTGTCTTTATTATAAAATATTTACATAAAAGAAAATAATAGAAATAGTGTTATATAAGTATGTAAATAAAAAACAAAGTTGACATGAGTTGTAATTGTCATATAAAACTTTTAATCAAGTATTTAATTAAGTTAGACTAAAATCATTAATTAATTAATTAATTGAAATTAATGACTTATTTTTGGAAATCATTTTTCTTGTATCACTAAAGTGTTTGACGGAAAACAATCACTACTAATTGAAACAACACTTGATGGAATAATTAATTTTGTCAAGCTGTTGCATTTGAAAAAACATTTATCACCAATTGAAGTCACACTTATAGGTATATCAACATGTGTCAATTGAATACATCCACCAAAACATTGATAATAAAATTGTTCAACACCTGGTTGTATATACACGCTATTTAACTGAGAACAATTTCCAAAACATTGAATACCAATCGAAGTGACACTTGAAGGAATTGAAATCGTCTCCAAAAAACAACAGTTAAAAAAACACCCTTTACCCATTGATAAGACATTATTTGGTATAGTCACATAACTTAATGCACAACAACCGAAGAAACAACAATTACCAATTGATGTCACATTTGTTGATATTTCAACACTGCTTAAATTGTAACAATTATAAAAACAATCATCAGCCATTGATTTGACACTTAGCGGTATTTTTATTTCGAGGAGGTGAATACAATAAGAAAAACAAGAACGACTGATAGTTTTGACGCCTGATGAAATAGTAACACTTGTTAAATTTAAACAATTACAGAAACAGTGGTCACCAATTGATTTGACATTTGGTGGAATGTTTATACAATCTAATTTATTATATCTATTAAAACAATAGTCATCAATTGTTTTGACAGAGTTTGGTATTTTATTTCCAAACTTTGTTACATCATCTTTAGTATAAATCACATTTTTGAATTTGATGTTTGGGGAAATAGTTCTATTGACAACATCAACACCAACACCAAACCAAACAACAATTTGGTAAAACACTTTCTTTTCAGTTACGCTTTTTCTTTTGTTAATTTCTTCATAATAATCATGATTATCATTCTTCAAATTATCAATAAATCCATTCCCAAAATTCTCATCAGTTTTATTATATAAGTGAAGTGTCTCGATATTTGGGAAATGTTTGATTGTTAATTTGGTGATTGGAATTGGGTTGAAGTGAAACTTCTTCATGTTGTCATTGAACTTCTTGGATACAAACTCAATATTGATGAAGTCTTTGATAGTATTAAAGTGTTTCGAAACTATCATCATGTGATAACTGCTCAACTTGGTCATTTTTGATTTGACCAGATGAAATTTATTCTTATTCATAAAAATGATTTATTTTATTTTTATTATCATGTTACATTCAATTTTTAAATTCATTGAAACATTTGATTTGTTCATAAAATCGCATTAAAATCTTTTATTTTGATATATTTGAATATCTTATTTGAAAATAACAATTCTTTACATTGTTACCAACCTATATTTAATGGTCTTGGTGTTCAACTATTATGTCATTTATATTTAACAAGTGTGTTTTAATAAATGAAGTATTATTCATGATTGTTATTAAAAAAACAACAGAACAAATAGATTTCTAAATTCATTGTTTTTTTGATTAATTTCAAATATTTGAAGTTTATAATGAAAATAACACTTAATAAACCACTACTTAATAATGAAGATAACAAATTAGCAACCAAATACAGTAAAAGCTCTTGAGAGCGGGAGGGTGTGGTAATTTTGTTTTCTCGAGAGCGGGCATTTTTAGCCAATCAAACTTTAAATACGGTTTTATAGAGAACTTTATTTTATAGTTTCAGTTTTAAAATTGCCCGCTCTTAAGAGAATCCGCTCTTCAAATGTACTACTTTTGGGAGGTTTTAATGTAAATACTGTTTATAATAAAAAACGATTATGTTATGAAATAACAAAGAAATTAATTATATTTCTTGTTTACTCAGCCATGTTAAAAAGCGAGTAAATTCCAGTTGTGAGTATTTTGGGACTTCTCCACAAAGTGCAACAGTGTTTTTAACAGATGGGCACACTCCCAAATCTTTTTTCTCGAAATCGCAGCAATACCTTTTCATTTCATCTGGACTCACTCTTTCAAGTTGAACCGATTTTAGTGTTTCTTCCAATGTAGTATAACTCTGGCAACTCAAATGGTAACAAGTCACACTGTCTTCTTGAATCTTCTTGTCAAAGTACATTTGAATGATCTTTTTAACGCACTCGGCACAGTAATCGATTGGCACAAAAGGGATTTCGAGAGGAAGTGGAGACTTCTCTTCATAACAGACTTTATTACTACTTAGAATGCTTTTGATGAGTCTTATGTATTTGCTTTGAAGATTTGCAACACCACTTGCTCTGTCAAAACCTGCTGTTCCAAGACGTATAATGCACTTTGAATACCCTTCATTCTTTAACATGATTTTCTCTGCTATTAACTTCGACTGTGCATATCCATTTAATCGATCAATAGAGGTCATTGGAACATCTTTCACTTCTTCATTAATGCCAGACCCACTCAAACAACTCAACGATGATATTTGTATTAGAAATGCTTTATTTTGTTGTGCCAACGTAACACAAGTTGTCATGGGAATAACATTTTGTGGGTATAAATTGTCATAGGATTCTAACATATGTGTTCGTCCACATGAATTAATAATAACTTTTATGGTTTGTAAAACTTCACAATATAGTTTTGAAATCCCAAAATTGGGTTGAGTCACATCCCCACTTAAGACAGTCACTTGCTCTTCAAACCACTGTGTTATTTCTTCTCTTTTCTCTTTTGGTTCAAATTGCGTTATTTCATTGAAAATATCCAAAAGACGCCGTTTCACGTTTTGTCCTCTCACAACACAAATCACACGTTCTTTAATATCACACAAACTTCTTAGTATAAATTTCCCAACAAAACCCGTTGCGCCAAGTAACAAAATTGTTCGTTTTGGAGTCAAATTAACTTCTGGAATTGCTTTATAGGGAATCACATGTTTGGTGATCTCATTTTCCCAATTTTCTTCAATTTCAAGAAAAGTCCCTGTGTTGATATAATTTTCTATTTCTTTAATATTACGCATTTTATATAAAAGAAGAACCGAAATGGAGACGCCAAAGGCGTCTTGTATACTTTTACTAATCAAAGCCATACAAATAGAATCGACGCCAAAATCCGTCAATTTGTATTCCAAAACGCTTTCAATAGTTTTCACCTTTTCAATTCCTTTCACACAATTTCTCAAAATGTTTTCCATTTTCTGTGATACAGCGCCCCTCTCACATTTTTCGTTTTGTGCCGGTTCCTCGCCCTTTTCGCTTTGTTGAAGAATAGCCGTCTCTTCTTCAGCTTCCACAATAACAAATCCAAGACAAAAGCTATACTTCTTATATCTTTCTAGTAATTTGTTTCTGTTCAATTTACCATTACTAGTTAATAATCCATTTTCGACTCCAAATCTATCTTTTGCTATAATTACTTTACTCACCGTTTCATAGATTTTCATTTGTTTTTCTTTGCTTCTTTCTTTTATATTCTTTAAAATGTCGTTATATTGCAGTGGAGAATTTACAGTTGGATAGACTACACCCATAACTCCATTGATTTCTATTCCCCCAAAAACGAAAATCTGTTCGATCCCAAGAACTCCAATCAAAGCATTTTCTATAACCGTTGGCGTCACAAAAACGCCTTGTTGTGTTTTAAAACAAAACGCCTTTCGATCAATAATTTTGACTCTTCCGTCTTCGATCATCCCAACATCCCCCGTCTTGAAGTACTTCACTCCATCAATTTGAGTAAACATCTTCTCTGTGAGTTCATCATCTCCAAAGTATCCCGTCGTCATCGTTTGAGTCTTCGCGACGACTTCTCCACGGGGTGGGGTGTCCGTCACATAAAATCCCATTTCTTCGCAGTCAATGAGTTTTAATTCAACGCCTTCATTCACTTTTCCTGTTGTCATATTAATGAGTGATCCAGTCTCACTGGTACCATATCCATCAGTTACTACTAATCCAATTTTAAAGAGAAATTCTTTAATGTAATCGGAACTCTTCGCTCCAGTTATCAAAACTTGTTTACACCGGTTGCCAAGCACTTTTTTCTTTTTGAATGTCTCAAGAGAAAGTGGGTCGCTCAATGAGCCCTTTTCTATTTTAAATTCACTGTACAACGAATTCCAAAAGGACGGAGTTGCACCAAAGAACGTCGGGCGAACTAATAAAATGTCCTTTCTTAACCGTTCTAAAGATCCACTATAACATGCTATTGCTCCCCCTTTACTCAAAATATTTCCTAATTGTCGTATTAAAGTAAACGAGACAGTTATAGTTTCTATGTTTCCTTTGGTTTCTACTAATTGACTTTTTAACATCTTTTCCGTCTCAATCACCAGTTTAGGGATGCCAGTAGACCCACTTGTAGATAGCAAAAGTCTTGGTGTTTGGTCATTAATATTGGTTTGATCGATATCTAAAGTCTCCTCTTTTTCGTCTAAAAATAGAATAGAAGAGAGTGGCGGATATGTCTTCGTTTGAGGCTCTTTACTATTAACGTCATATGCTTCATAACAGTCGTCCACTGTAAACACAAATTTAAATTGAGAGAGACACTTTGAAAACACGTGTTGAAGATGTTTAGAAATAAATAGAAGAGGAGAGTGACACTTTAAAAGAACACTTTCAAATTGCTCTTTAGAAACAGTGTGTTGTAAAGGTATACAAATCATGTTAGCTATAAGTGATGCTATTAATATTATATAACTCTCTGGACAACAATCGGCGCAAATAATAATTTCGCTGTTTATTTCAATGGAATGTTCTTTCAAAAATTTTACAATGGAATTCACATACATGCCAACTTGTTTGTATGAAAGCCACTTGTAATCTTCCAACACTTGTCCACAGAACAGTCGATACCCTATACATCGCCTTTCCTCATACAAATGTATAATATTCAAGAGACATGTCGAATAAGTGGGAGCTGATATTGCTTTGAAATTGTTTAATGCATATGGTAAGATCTCTTTATAATATTTGTGGCAGGTGTCTTCTTTTGCATATTGAATACAACTCGGGCATATATTATGAAAGCCATCATCACAGACACTACAATTGTAATACTCACTTGGGGGTAAGATCTCGCACCCACACATTAAACACCCAACTACTGATGTCCGATTTTTCATATGCTCAATCAGTTTTATGTCTTCTGATGTGCTACAACTCGATGATGATAAATATGAAAGCAATGAATTCAAATATTCCATTTTAAATGTTTTCGTATATTTAGTTCAGTTGAACTATATATACTTCATTGAATGTATAAAAACATTCATTTCGTTTATTCTAATTAATATGTACTAATTTAAAACTATATTAGTTGATATTAGTAAAAGATATTAATTATATAATTTTTAAATACTACTTAATAATTTATTAAAATCTAACTATTTTTTTTAATAATTATAATAATAACTAACAATAATAATTGTTTTTGATATATTATAAATGTAATTATTGTATTAATTTTACTAATTATTTAATTCATTTATAAAAATTAATAAAACAACTATATCAGAATTTGAGTGAATGTGATTGAAAAAACGGAATGAAGGAATATGTGAGGGGAGAAAAATGGAGAGGTGCGATGGAGAAAAAGCCACTTGTGGTGTACTATTCGAACAGCAATTCAGTGATTGGTGAAATTGCACATAAAATCGCTCTGGACGTGAGAGCAGATATCTATGAGGTGAAGACCACTAAAAGAATCAAACGGCCACAACTCACGCAAGACGGGAGGAAGACATTCAGTAACATACCCATTGTTTTTGATTCAATCGACTTCTCGCCATACAATGAGATTTTTATTGGCGGAGAGTGGGTTGAAAGGCATTTAGTAGGACCAATGAGGTCGTGGATCAACCAGAACAAAACGTACATTTTGCGCGACGACGTTAAACTCATCTTTTTTGTTTTCGACAAACAAGGGAAAAAGATCAACAAGGCATTCAAAGAAATGGTCGAGCTGTTGGGAGAACCCCATAGAAGACTCATTATAACGCCATTGGATTACCCGTATCATTCATTGCCAAGAAAAGTTGGATATCACACGAGTTCATCAGAACAAGATGAGGTTTACTGTGATGAGAAAATGAGTAGCGATGGTGTTAATGTTGTTGAAAAAATTTCCACAAAAAGTTGTGGCCCCATGCAAAAACAACGAGTTGAAAATTTTGAACAAGGAATACGTATAGAGTAATTCCAGCTGTTTGTGTAGCTTGATGATCTATGAAGATATTTATAAACAATTACAAAACCTATACATCATTGACATAAACATCAGAAATTATACAACAACACAACACTGCGACTTTCGTCTTGGCTCTTCCTCGTCAGGGAGCATTGGATTCTCTAGTGTCATTTCAAAGTTGACATCTGACAAAAGTGCTGTTTCGACCTCCTTGTTGATGGCCATGTAGCAACTTTCCTCGTTATTTGGGTCAAGCACAACCTGTTCGATGTCATTTAAATTTGCCAGCGTTGTTCCGTCGGGCTTTGTCTTTTTAAGTGCAATGAACTTACGCGGGATGTCTTCTGTATATCGTTTGACTTCTTTAAGCCAGCATTCCAGCATTTTCCCCTCTTCCTTCTCTGGGCAGTACACCAGAAATATCTCAGAAGTTCCTCTGAAAAATGATGTGTTGATAGTTTTTCTTTCTTTATTATCTTTCGATGAGTACTATTTATATTTTTCAACAACAAAGTTAAACAAACCACACGTGTTGATTGATAAAGTAAAATCCGTTCCAAGATATTTTAGTGTGTTTTGATATGTTTGATCGACCATAAAGACTTCTAAGTGGTTTCTGGAGAGATAATTATTGATAGCGGTTTTAAGGGAGTCGTTGATTTCCCCAACAAAAATGAACTTGACTTGGGCTTGTGCCAGTTCGCACGTTGCCATCCGATCGAGCGTCATCTCTTCAGACATCGGCACTATGGTTAAGTCAGATCTTGCCTTGTTGATAAGTTTGAATTCTTTGTGGGTATATACACCCGGGTTTTATGTGTTTTCTCGTTCATGGAATTTACTTTCAATAATGAACTATATTTATTGGTTTATGTTTAGTTCTGTTATAGTACTGTTTTTTATTTTCGTCCAAAACATTATATTTATTGAAACCCCTCGTTTAAAAATATAAAAATCACAACATTTTGTCATTTTCTATTTCTTTTAGTGATGTGCAGTTGTTTATTTTTAAAGTTCGGGATATTAAAGGAAATAATTTATTAAATTTTTTTTAAATGAACTTAAATAACAAGACTTGCAATTCTCCATTTTATGTACAATACATAGTTATTAAAAATATATATTTAATTAAAAAATACATTTAAATTGTTATTATATTTTTTTCTTTTTACAAATAATTAAATATTGCATATTTATAATTGTTGTTTGATTATAATTTGTTTTTTATAAACATTTGATTAAAACTTAAACATTTTATCGATAATAAATTATTTATTTTAATTAAAATAATTAGTTTATTACTATTTAAAAACATTATTTAAATAATTCTATCCATTAATGTTAGCCATTTTCGCATACGTGCAGTTTTTTTTATTAAGTAAATAATTATGATTTAATTATAACCGTATCACTAAAAAATCCATTTGAAAATAAATAATAACCCATTCAATCCATAAATTCGACTTTTTTTTTCTTCAAAAAAGATTGTTATTATTATTTTATTTTTATTATTTGATTTTTTGAAAATAATTTACGATGGTATTGTCATTGATATACCGAGGGACCGATCGCTAAAATCACATATTTTTTAGTCGTCAAAAATAAGAAAATTTTTTTGCCATTATTTTTTTTATTTCCAAGGTTTTGTTTCAAAAAGATAATTTTTTCTTAATTAGTGAACGTGGAGACATTATTTTAAGTTCAGCTTATTTTAATTTATTTAATTTAAAAGTGTTGTTTTTAAGTTCTTTTTAACATAAAAAAACAAAAAATCGAATTAAATTTTTAGTTTCAAAAAAATAAAAAATCAAAATTTAGTAAAAAAAAGAAGATTATTGTCATAGTAGTATATAAATTATGTGGATTTAGGGGGGACAGAATTTTATCTATATTTTCTAATAATTTAACTAAAATAGTGATGGGACGATTAATCTGAATTTTCACAAAATTCTGGATTAAGAGTTCCAATTATTTTTTTCATTTTTTATTTCCCTAAAATGAACACTGATAAAGAACAATATAAATTACAACACTATAACTGATACAGAATATATTAATATAACTAAAAATCAAATTTCTAAATTCTATTTCGGTAAAGATGACTATTCTCAATATATTAAAGATATTATGAATTATGTTATAAAACAAGATTCTAATAGAAAACATTATTTATTAAAAATTTATAAATCTGCCTTAGAATATTTATTCTTATTAATTAAAAATCATGAATTTGATGAAAATGAAGATATATTAAATCATTTCTACAATGAAGATTTCTATTATGATGAAAGACATCATAATATTTAAGAAATTCTGATTCATTATCAAATGATTTTGCATCATCTGATTGTAATTTATAAACACTCATTTTTTATGATAAAAATATAAATTATCTAATATGAATTTAATTAATGTTTCATGTCTAATCTTAAAACCATTTAAAACTCTTCTTATCTTTATCACTACGTTGAGTATTCATTAATTGTTCAACAAATTTATTAGAATAAGAAGTTGTATCTGGTACATTAACTTTTTTATTAGTTTTGTATTGATCTATTAAGTCGCTACTATAATCTAACATCTTATTTCCTATACCAGACGTGTCATATGCTTCTATTAAATTTTTAGCATATGGTTTTATAGGTTTTATAACATAATTCATAATATCTTTAATATATTGAGAATAGTCATCTTTACCGAAATAGAATTTAGAAATTTGATTTTTAGTTATATTAATATATTCTGTATCAGTTATAGTGTTGTAATTTATATTGTTCTTTATCAGTGTTCATTTTAGGGAAATAAAAAATGAAAAAAATAATTGGAACTCTTAATCCAGAATTTTGTGAAAATTCAGATTAATCGTCCCATCACTATTTTAGTTAAATTATTAGAAAATATAGATAAAATTCTGTCCCCCCTAAATCCACATAATTTATATACTACTTCATCGTAAAAAAATTTCAAATGAAAAATGGCCAAACTTTTTTAATGGTTAAATGAGTTTAGTGGCAGTAATAAAATTCATTTTAATAATTATAAAAAATATAAAAATAATTATAAACATTATTTATAATAAACAACAAACGATATTATTAATTAAATAAGTTATTTGTATTATTATATAATATAAAAAATAAATAATGATAAAAATATAATCAATAATTATAAATTTAAATATGAAAATGTTATTATTTTTATTAAAAACAAATACATTCACAAAATAAATTACTTATTAACTTGATATTTTGAATAAATATATATATTAAAATATACTGTTATCTAAACAAATAAAACATTTGTTTTTATAATTTATTTAAACAATAAATACTAAAATATGAAACTATATAATATTTTTTGTGTTTGGATCTACAATTAATAATGATTCGTTCATTTATTTGGAATTACATGAAAATTGTATATTTGCCATGCCAAGAACACGCCGAGTGTCTTCCCGGTGAATACCAATCAAAGGGAGAACCCACATGTGTTGGTTGTTCCTTTTTTATAAAATGTTTTCTCTGTAACAAAATGTTAAATTATAACATGGTCACACAGTCTACTTCATCAGCAAAAAATCATTTAATTAATTTACATTACGACAAATTAAAAGATGAAGAAAAAAGGAGAAAACTGTTTCCAAAAATGTCACAAAGAAATAAAGAGGTTAATATAATGTTGATGAGATTTTTTCATCTGTTGGAATTCCTTTTAGTCAACTTCGAAATCCCTTTTTAGTCGAGTTACTGAATTTTCTTGATAAGTCAGTTGTATTGTCAGACGAAAAAACATTTAGAACAACTTGTCTTTTTGAATTGTACGATAGAGAACTAGGAGATCTCAAAAAAAAGAATTAAAGAAGATGTCGTTTTCAATAATCTATCAGGATATATTTCAACAGATATTATGAGTAAATATAATAATTCTTATATAACAACAACTCTCCACTATGTCGATAAACAATTTGAGTCACACAACGAAGTTTTGAATGTGAGTCCTTTTAATGTAGAACATACAGGAAAGGAAATTAAAACGTATGTGAGTCAAATTGTTACCGATTTAAATTTGAATGTTAACAACATACATTTTGTTGCTGATTCGGCATCAAATAACAATAAATTGTCTGAAATAAATGGAAACAAAACAGATTGTGTTGTACACACGTCGAATAATTTGTTTTCTGCTGTGATAAAACAAATACCAGGGATGAAAGCCTTCATGAAAAGTATTAATTCTTTGGCCAAAACACTCCAATTTTCTCAAAAAACACAAAGAATATTTGAAGAGTTGTGTTCAAAAAAATTGTGAAGAGCCTGGATGTCTTGCGACTTAGACGAAAACGCGGTTTAATTCATGTTACCTTTCTTTTAGCAAATTGTTAAAAAGAGAGAAGAGTGTTAAAGAACTGAACAATGGGATTCAATTCAATGAAGAGGGGTGGAAAGGGGTCAAAGAAATGTATTCACTCACAAAAGCAATGGACGATCTTTACAACAAATTGGCGGTGAACCAAAAAATTACATCGTGTTATGTTGTGGGAGCTATTAGAGACATTTGGAACACATTTTCCTCTTCTATTTACCAACCGGAAGGTTTTCTAAAAAGTATATTAAAACATAGTGAAATAGATGAAGATTATGCAGAAGAATCGGAAAGTGGTTTTATGGAAATTGAAGCTGGGACTATTTTTGGAAAGGACTGGAAAATGATAGCTCGATCTGAATTCGAAAAAAGACTGCGCGCCATTTCTCAAAAAGAAGAATATATTTTAGCAGCTTTCTTTTTTTCCTATTACTGGTGATGGTGATTTGTTTGAAACACAAATCAATACCTGTGTTCAAAAAGTGAAGGCTGAATTGAGTGGCATAAGTAATATAACACCACAAAGTAGTTCCGCCTTTTTAAATTCGAGTTCAAATTTTCATATTGAATTTGCCAATTGGGCAATTCCAATGATGACAACTGATGCAGTACAAAGACTAGAAGAATCACCATTTGATAAAGCAATTAGATTGTATTTAGAAGATCGTGGTGCGATAGAAAACGGAGAAAACTGTAAAAGTCCCGAAGAATATTGGCAAAACTGTATTAAACTAAACAAACACGCCGATTTATATGATATTGCCAGGAAGTATCTCTCTTTTCAACCAACAAGCATAGACTCCGAAAGAGTTTTTCGAAATGTTGGTAAAATAGTCTATAATGAAACTTCGTCATTTACCCCAGAAAACGCCTCGAAAGTGTCTTTTTGAGACTACAAATAAACAAACAACACCAAAAATAAACAGATTAAATGGTTTGGAGTCAAGTATGGTTGATTATTCTTCATAGATCTCAATGGTTGTGACCTTAGTGAGATAAAACCTTGGATGATCTCTTTGATGAGCACTAACTCAACACTATACACGAGAAACTCCAACATCAAAGACGCCATTCGAACAGACTTGACTGTGTTACATTTTCTTTTTGCAGCACCTCCATGTAGAGTTTTGAAGAGTTATAAAAATACAGTACGGTTTGATATCAGCGCTTGGGAAATACCAAGAGAATCTGCAACAGTTAAGTCACTAATGATGTCACAAAAATAGACCCAATGATAACACCAAACCGATGGTTTTTGATTGTTGTTGCACATAATGCATCCATGTAATATGTCTCGGCTCAAACGTGGCATAATTTTATACAAGCACAATATACAAATCATTGAATTGTATATTATGCCCCATATGATTGGCGTTGAATAATTACAATAAACGTGTTTCAAAAACGATTTCATTGAGCATTAAAAGAGCAATAAACTGCGAATCCAATCGAATGGTATTCAAGACTGAAGGAAATTACATTGACTTTCCAGTCGACGAATTCAAAGTGTAACATAGTGTCAGTATGAAGTGTTCCAATCTGTTTTATGGGTGTTATTCATGTGACCACAAACCGAATTCAACAATTGATATTGATGTTTTGGGGTTTTCTGGCTGCCAGAGTGGCGTGGAGTTTGAGTCTCGAAAAACAAAGAAATGATTGACAACAACAAATTTGATAGATAAGGAGGGATACAGAATCGAGTGTACTACAAGTTGTTCGACTTGTACAACAAGAACAAATAATCAACACACAAAATCATTTGAGTATAGGGATCATTTAGATTCAACACTGTCATATGAGAACCACAAATACTGTCAGAAGTACCAAATTGGTTTGGATGTATAGAATGTTTCAATTCAATCAACTTAAATGGTGTTTGTTCAATAGTTGAAACGAACACAAAAATGTACCTTTTATTTAGATAGTTACAACACAATTAAATGTGAAAAATACCTTAAACATTCACAAACAAAAACATATACAACTTTATGGAGTGATGATGTTAGACATGAAGCATTATTAAAAGGACTGTGTATAAAATGTTATTCGAAATACTTTTTGAACAAAGTATATCCACTAAAATGTGAGTTGAGTGGAGATAATGTCTGACTTGCACAACACCGACTACATGTTATATATTCTCAAATGGGTTTTCTCTTGTTAATGGAAGTTGTGTTTCACTATCAAATTGTTTTGTGTCAACGCCAAGTGGATGTACTGTGTGTAATAAAGGTTATTATCTAATTCTCGGCTCATGCAAAATGTTAAGTGAAATCCACTACAAATCTGTTGTTATGATAACAAATATTAGATGTGCAATGTATGTTATGTAAAGACAACTATATTTTAAGTGACACACAATGTGTTGACATGTCTACTGCGCGTTGCCAAAGTGTCGACTTATCAACTTCAAAATGTGCAATTTGTGAAGAGAAGTACAAATTTGATGACAAAAAATGTGTTTCAATGGAAACGACGCTATGCTCGTATACATCATCAGGCAACTGCCTTCATTATGATTTACAAATCTCATTTAGAACTTCCAATGAGGGTGTATTGGTTTGCAATACAGAAGTGAAGACTGTGTACTGCAAAGAAAACAGCAATACGGGGTGAACCAAGTGTTATGACGGGTATTATCTAATTGGTACTGAATGTCTTCAATGTGACAAGAAGTGCTCAAATTGTGTTGGCAACGTTTCAACATGTGCAAAGTGTAACGTGAAAGGTGGGTATTACCAATATGTCGAATTTACAACAATAAAAGACAAGAAGTGTGTCATCAATACAACACTTGACAATTGTGAATGGGTTTCAGAATATGGGTGTGCTGTGTGTCTCGATGGGTATTATCAAAACAAATATTTAAAATGCCCAAAGTGTGTTAAATTGCGTGCGACTTGTTCAGACAATAACACGTGCTCTTTATGTATTAATCAATATGTTTTGATATCAAAATAGTTGCAATGTGTGAAATGGAATTCAATTGCAATAGTAAATCGTATGATTTAAAAACACGACAATGCAGTGAGTACAGTGTAAGCAACAAATTTGGACCAAATGGAGACGAGTGTGTTCACACGACAAATGTACTTTCAATTATACTTCCAATCATTTTTGATTTTTTAAAGTTGTTATTATAACAATAAGTTGTATACTTTTTACATATTCATTACAGAAAAGAAGAGAAGTTAAGGAAGTCACCTGTCAACGAATTTTTGTTGAAAGATTTAAAAAAGAAAGAAGTTGATACCATATATATTGGCACTCAAAAAACGCATTTTGAAGGCGAAATTGCAGTTCAGAAAGACGGCGAATGCAAATTTATGATTGGCAACGACAGAACGTCTTTATTGAAAATTCAATTCACAACACAAAATGACAAGGAAAAGTTTGAGTTGAATGTTAAACCTTCCATACCAGTGAGTATCGAGAAAGGTTGTGCTGTTGAATTAACTGTTGCTGTTTATCCGCTGTGTACACTTGAGAAGACTATTGACATCACTTGTTCGGTCTTGAACATCAACAAAGGCAAAATATCAGAGATAAAAATCCCAGTAAAATTTGCGTCAGAAATGTCGACAGCACTTAACCCAGACGAATTGAAAAAAGTTCGAAAACTCAGAGAAGGAAGCTTTGGGATTGTGTTTAAAGGAACATATCGAGGAAATGTTGTTGCCATCAAAGAGATGAAGGAAATGGTTGTCGCCACTTAAAAAGCAAAAGGTTTTACAAAGAATTTGATTGTTGAAAGTTCAAGTCGAATTGACTGTGTCTAGCAACCAGGTAATAATACTATTATGTATTATAATTTTAATTATAAATTGACCTAATTCATATATTTTTTTTAACAAGAATTTAACTATTAATTATAATTAATAAAACAAGCTGTTTAAATTATTTTTACAATACATCACAACTTGTTCAAAATGTATTTTATAAATTGGTTTGAAAACAATAATTTTGATTTTTCTTTTTTGAAAATTTTGACATGTCTCTTTTTTTCCTTAACTCGCCGACAACCCAATACTGCTCTTTTTAACAGTTTTTTAAAAATTTGTCCCAAAACTGTTTAAACAATATTGAATTGTTATTAGGTGATTTTCCTGAAAAAACAGATAAAAACAAATAAATAACAATTCATATAATGGAATTATTTTTATTTTTCATACCAAAAAATCGTTTTGTGCATTTATTTTTTTATATAAAAATTTAAAAGCAAAACAGAACAAAAATTACAACCAAGATAATAAAGAGTTGGTGGAAAAAGTCGGCTTTAGCAAATTATTGTAATATATAATATTTATTGTTATAAATAAAAAACATTTTATATCATTTTAAAAACATTAATTAAAACAAAAAATAATTAAAAATACTTGTAAAACCAAACAATGGTTGAATTTTTTAATATTCCCGTTAATAAAATTGACGTTTCGGATACATAACACAGTTTTGTTGTTGTGGTTGTATTACCCCATAAACAGTCAATTGCGACCATTTGATGTTTGATTTTGTAATTGAAAATAATGTTTGGCAAATATAAAAGAAAGCAAATTTGAAAGTTATCAAATTAATCATTTGATTTATTATTTAATAAATACAACACAATTCAACAATAAAAAACTTGAATGTAGCATTTTGAAACAATTTATTTATAATTACAAATTTAAACTTATAAATATATTAAAGAAACCCACAAAACGCAGCAAATGTTTAAAAATTGTCACACATACAATCCACCCATAAATTGAATCAATCTCTATGTGAAAGTGTCAATGTGTAAAATCAACTGAGATTGATTATGGTAATAACTTATAGTTTTTAAAAATTCATTTTTTGTATTTAATTTCAAAAAGGTGTTTCAATATCTGAATTGAAATTGTGTCCTGCTCGAAAGTTATATAAATTTTAATAATATATAAATACAAAGAATGACTAATAAAAATGGTTGTTCAT